GGGAAAGATGAAAGGGGATAGAGGGAAAGATGAAAGGGGACAGAGGGAAAGATGAAAGGGGATAGAGGGAAAGATGAAAGGAGAGGGAAAGATGAAAGGAGATAGAGGGAAAGATGAAAGGGGATAGAAGGAAAGATGAAAGGAGAGGGAAAGATGAAAGGGGATAGAGGGAAAGATGAAAGGGGATAGAGGGAAAGATGAAATGAGAAGGAAAGATGAAAGGAGATAGAGGGAAAGATGAAAGGGGATGGAGGGAAAGATGAAAGGAGAGGGAAAGATGAAATGAGAGGGAAGATGAAAGGAGATAGAGGGAAAGATGAAAGGGGATAGAGGGAAAGATGAAAGGGGATAGAGGGAAAGATGAAAGGGGATAGAGGGAAAGATGGAAGGGGATAGTGGGAAAGATTGAAGGGGTCAGAGGGAAATATGGAAGGGGATAGGGGGTAAAAATGAAAGGGGATAGAGGGATAGATGAAAGGGGATAGAGGGAAAGATGGAAGGGGATATTGAGAAAGATTGAAGGAGTCAGAGGGAAATATGGAAGGGGATAGAGGGAAAAATGAAAGGGGATAGAGGGGAAAGATGAAAAGAGAGGGAAAGATGAAAGGAGATAGAGGGAAAGATGAAAGGGGATAGAAGGAAAGATGAAAGGAGAGGGAAAGATGAAAAAGGATAGAGGGAAAGATGAAAGGGGATAGAGGGAAAGGTGAAATGAGAGGGAAAGATGAAAGGAGATAGAGGGAAAGATGAAAGGGGATGGAGGGAAAGATGAAAGGGGATAGAGGGAAAGATGGAAGGGGATATTTGGAAAGATCGAAGGGGTCAGAGGAAAATATGGAAGGGGATAGAGGGAAAAATGAAAAGGGATAGAGGGGAAAGATGAAAGGGGATAGAGGGAAAGATGAAAGGGGACAGAGGGAAAGATGAAACACTTAACAGAACAATTTGTGAAAATATCAAATAAAAGAAAATATGATGTGCGAAAAGAACTAATTAAATTAACTAGACTTTATTAAATGTTGTCCTCATTTTTTATATATTTCCCAGAGACAAGACAAAACATATTAGGAATTAGTAATTAATAAGTAATACAAAATCCCAGAGGGCGCTTCTTCATTCCTTTCCAATGAAGATTTTATCAGCATATGTAGATATAGCTAATAATTCATGACCAGTGTCCGAATTTAATGAATTTGAGCCGCGTCTAAAATCCGCCAAAACGCGGTTTCAATTGAGCGCCGGCTTAAATCTTGAAACAATGAAAATGATTTTAAGTGGAACCAACCATATTTGAGCCGCGGCCGCGGCTCAAATTCTTTAAATTCTGCCTCTGATCGTATTTTTTTCTAGTTTCAAATATTGTCATCAAAATTGGGGTTGATAGAGTGATGACCTGGGCTGGGGAAGTGGGGGGGGCTATGTGTGTGGTGACTAGTGGGTGGAAGAGGGAAAGGGAGGGATGGGGGCTATGTGTGGTTACTAGTGGGTGGTAGAGGAATGAGGAGGGGAAGGGGAGGGTGGGTGGAAGAGGGATGATATGGATGCGTAAACTGAACGTGTGTTCGTGTATGGATATTACCAAGATTATGGAAGTTACACAATATTCTGGGTGTTCTCTTCATGTCAACCTAGAGATCAGGAGACATCATCTTTCAGAAACACTCCCTTTAACTTTACACACGCTTACCCAGCAGTTGATTGAAAGGGATTGTTCACTCATTTTTAAGTAACCTTGTAGTTACAAATTGAGCTTTAAGTTTTAAGCTTCCCGAATCCCAAACAAAAAAGCAGCATTTATAATTTCAGCATTTATAACTTCAGCATTTATAATTTGAGCATTTATAAAGTATCAATTCATTTTCATTTGAAGGATCCTTTCGAATCCTGTATCCAAACAAGGACAGCTTATGCCATGTATGCAATGCACATCTGAGACTATATTTGACACTTATTTTGATTGATATATAATGATTGAAATGAAAACGTTTATTTAATGGCTTTCATCTCTGAAAGTATTTAATTATCAACTTTAACGTATAATTATTTGAAGTACACTATAGTTTAGCCATTTCTCATCTTTCATGTCAGATCTTGGGAAATTCAAAGATTAAAAATATAGAATTCGAACATGTTTCATAATAGCATATCCATTCAGTGTTTCCACAAATTATCTATACATAAATTTAGCTTGTCTGGGTGGGTGTTTGTCTGTTTGTATGTATCCAATGGCTAAACCGATCGGGCCCAAAATTTGTGTGGGGCCTCACGTGACCCCAGGGACGGTTTATGATTTATCAAAATGTTAAAAATTTGTGTTTAAAAGTTTTTATTGTTGTAAAAGTTTGACAATGCGCGAAAAAATATTATGAAATCCGCAAACCTTTGTTTGTTTTTGTTTTATAATGTTTATATTACCGAATGCAAAGATGGCAATGCCCGATTTCCATCAGTACCCATTAAACCTTAATCTGATAAAAAATGTGGAAGATACCGTCGTTTTCTGTCTTGTAAAGTGTTTATTTCTGTGAGTTTCTTCATTGCTTCTTAATAACAAAAAATGCGCAGGTCACTTTCGCAGAGAACCCGCAAATGAAAACAAAAATATAAGCAGTTTAAAGAAACCAAAAACATTGATATATAATTCATACTTTATCAGACATAGCTCTCAAGGGTACCGTTGTTCATAAGGCATTGCCATCTTTGCCGGGAGAGTCCCTTGAAATTACGCTTATAGTCCCTTTAAGTCATGAATATTACTCTGATACAGTCCCTTTAAATATGAACCAGTATAGAATGCACCGCAATCCGCCATGTTGACCGTATTAGACAGAGGCGCAACTAGGACTTTTGCTAGGGGGGGGTCCCCCCCCCTAGTTGCGCCTCTGGTATTAGAGTTAAATAGAATTTTTGTGGTTTCAGATTTCCGTAGATTTTCTTTTTTATATTTAGCAGACACTTGAGAAGAGTTTCCAGCCAAATGGGCAAGTCCCGAAATTTTTCGCAAATAAAACTGTCGCATATTTTTTTTCACAAAATTCCTCATCGTTTTCGCTTCCCTTCCAAAATACATTTTTGCAAAAAATGTAAAATTTCGAGGAAACGTTTCACGTTTGCGAAATACGAAAAGAAAATTTGCGAAATATTGTTTTTTTTTTGCGAAAGTTTTCGTTCGCTGGAAACCTTACACTTGAGTTATTGAAAAATTGGGATAGTTCAGGTTGCGTTTTGAATGAGAAATATCGTAGTGAACTACCTGTGCTGCTATTCAGCATGAGTGTACACCTCAGAATATATATACTATAGAATAACTGGTGGCAGCATTTGGTTTGGGAAGTGTTGGACTGTGGGGGTTGTGCAGTACAATACATAAATGTCCAGATGCTCAGTAATCTTTGGGGGGGATTTTGATCCGTGTAACAATTTAACACTGAACAATCCTCATGCTTGTTTATACTGAGAAATCATGTAACTGATCAAAACAAATCCCCCCAAGAACAGTGTACTACATGTACACAATAACATACCAATACATGTTTACAATATAATACCAATACAGGTGCCACCTGTTATTCTATAGTATATATATTCTAAGGTGTACACATAAGACGGTTTACTAAAAAGTAAGTGGCCTGTCCAAATTAGTAAAGGATTAGCGTACACCATTCATCACTCCATATACTATAACCTCGTTGGTTTGAATCCGCTATATTTTTCTTTTAAATTTTGTTAAAAGTAAAGCTATTCTGTCTTAAAGAGTTTAAAAACTAAAATCTTTTAACTTTGGTTTTTTTTTCTTAAGTTTGTATGAGAGTGAAAACAACATTAAATAAGTTTGATCAAGAGAATTTGTTTTTCTTGCACTGTTGAAGAATACTCAAGGTTAAAACATAGAAACAGTCAGTCAATTGAATAGAAGGAGAAGTTATGCGACATTACTGGAACGTAATTCATATAGTTTTGATTTTACGAAAAGTATGCACTAAGCAAGTTTATCCGGTTAAATGATAGAAGTTCAAACATGTTTCTTCTTCTCGTTCAGTAGAAGTAAGTATTTCCATTTACTGTTATAGTGCCGATATAGGGATTTATCTCTAATTGGAGAATATGCTAGATAGAAAGATAGATGTTACCGCCATGCTATTTCTATTGGTTAAGAATAGTCACCAAACACATGACTGAACCCAGATTGGATCAGCCACTAATGGACTCGGCATGCTTTAATAAATATATGAGATATATAAGAAATATATAAATATATAAGAAACTGCTTTTTATTTTTAATTCAAAGTAATTTAATAGCCCTAAAATATGTAGAACAGCAATTGAATTAGTAAACTTGTTTTTCCGCGGTATTTGAACTTAAATATGTTGAGAATACGACATTATAAAAAACTCTTGCTATGTATTCAGATAACTGGGATTCTCTTATAGTTTAAATGAAACTGTTTACAGGTGACCTACACGTCGTAGAAAAATGCGGTTTAAAACTTTTATAAATTTTTTAAACTGGTTTGATTCTGAAGTGACGTAGCACTTAATATTTAATTTTACCGAACTAACTCATTTACATTTTTTTGTAGACATTTACATTTCGGAAATGTAACACACTTTTGGATCACTGTGAGAGGGGGGTATTTCAATCCTTCCCCTTTTACTATATACCATGCAGTGCTTGGAACGCACACCTAAATCTTAAAAACAAAACATAAAGTTTGATTTTATCCAATGATAGTCAAATAAGGACTGATTTTATCAAAGAAGGACTGATTGTATCCAATGATTGTTAAGTGAGATATAATATTCAGACATTGTGTTTGAATAAATTGTAAATTATATCTGATAATAGAAATTACTGCCCCCCCCCATAATCAAAATTTATATAGATATACATATCAAAAATACTACATGCATAACATTTCGCCAGCAGAATATTTCGCCTACATAATATTTCGCCTACATAATTTTTCGCCTGCATAACATATCGTCTTCATAACATATGGGCTAATTAAACATTTTGCCTACATAACATTCGCCTACATAACATTTTCCTACATAACATTTGCCAACATAACATTTATCTACATAACATTTTGCCTACATATCACATTTCGCCGACATAACATATCGCCTACAGAGCATATTGCCTACATAACATATTGCCTACATAACATTTTGCCTACATAACATTTCTCCCGCATAACATTCGCCTTCATAACATTTCGCTTACAAAACATTTCATCTACATAACATTTCGCCTGCATAACATTTCCCCTACATAACTTTTGCCTACATATGACATTTCGCCAACATAACATTTCGCCCGCATAATATTTCGCCTACAAAACATTTCGCCTGCATAAAACTTCGCCTACTAAACATGTTGTCTACATTACATTTTGCCTACAAAATGTTTTGCCTTCATAACATTTTGCCTTTATACAACAAGATAAAGATTTCCGCCTTGAAATTGAAATAATTTTTGATAGAAGAACATTTTGAAAAATCGTGACTTTTTGCAAAACTCCAAATGGGAAGTAATCAATTTAATTTTCAATGTACAATGGCTGCCAAAAATTCTCAACATATTTAGAATAAAAAACATTCCATTATTGACAGAAGCAGAAAAAAAGTGAAAACAGTTTAAAAAAATGTTTAAAAAAACAGATCAAACTTTTCTTGTGACGAGAAAAATTATTGGAAAAATCCCTCTCATAATCATAGAAACCTGTTGAAATCTGAGAGAGACGGGTTTTCTCTCTCCCCCCCCCCTTCCCCT